CGGCGGGGCACGTGACGGGGGTGCGGGTAGGCCGCGCTGTAGGCCCCGGGGCGGAAGCGGGTGGCGGCGGCGGCCGCGGCGGGAGGGGGCGTCGCGGAGCCGGGACCGGAACCGGAACCGGGGCCACCGGCAGCGGAGGGGAGCGGCGCGGCGCGACACCCATGGTGCCCTGGTGAGCGCGCGGAGCTTCCGGGGGAGCGGGGCGGCCTAACCGGGGCGCGTTAGGCCCGCTCACCGGGGCGTCCCGCGCGCCGCCGCACGGAGGCCCCGGGGCCGCGCGCGCCGGCGGCTTCCGGGGCGGTGTCGCCGTTTAAAGGGCCAGTGCTGCCGCGCGGGGCAGCCGGGGCCCGCAGCGGTCCCGGTCCCGCCGCTTGCGGGCGGGAGCTCCCCGGTGCCTCGGGCTGCGGGCCCGTCCCGGGGCTCGCCCGCCCGTCCCGCCGCCGCGCCGGTGCTGCCGTTAACGCAGGGGGGTTCCCGGGCTCGGCGYGCGGCGCCGCTCGTTTCCTTTGCAGCCGGAGCCGCGCACGGGGGCCCCGCGACGGCCGCCGCGAAGGAACCGGGAGCCGCTCCCGTTGCGCCGCCGCTTCCCGGGCTCCCGCGGAGCCCGCGGCGGCTCCGGCTCCTCCGTGCCGCCGGCGCCGCCTCCCCGCCCGCCCGCGCGGGAGCCGCCGGGCCGCTAACGCGCTGTTTGTCCCCGCACCGCAGGTCCGAGTGGCGCCCGCTCGAGAGGGGCCGCGCGGCGCCGGGGCCGCCCTCCCGCGCCGATGGAGTACGTGGTAAGGCCGGCAGGCGCTCGGGCTCCGCGGCTTTGGTGACGGACGGCGCCCGCCCCGCTGCTCGGCCCCGGCCTCCTCCCTGCCCCTCTGCCGACGGGGCTCTTCCCGGGGCCGCTCCCGGGCGGGAGACGCCGGCGCCGAAGCGGATCCCGCGCCCTCGGCTCCGAAGCGCCGGCCGCGGGAGGCTCCGTGCGCGCCGGGCCGGCCCGCTCGCCTCATGCCGACGCCGTTCCCGGTTTTCCCGGGGGGGAGCCCGGAGCCGCCCGGCTCCGTGTCCCGGCCTCGGGCGCCCCGCGCATCCCGTCTGCCGCGGGGCAGAGCGCGGCTTTGCTTTGGGATGCGCTTCCCAGAGCAGGAAGAGGGACGTGTCCCGCTCAGGGCCTCTGTCTGGGGGCCGCGTCCCCCCCGTCCCTGTCTCCCGGGGTCTCCCGGCCCCGCGAAGCCGCCGCGTCGCTCCGGGCGCCCGGAGGAGCYGGCTCCTCCGCGGCTGCCCCGGCTGTTCCGGCCGCTCCGTTCCCTGCTGCGCCGGGGGGACGGAGCCGATTGCAGGGGCTCCCCGAGCCCCTCGTTCGCCCCAGGAGCTTTGGGGGGGGTCTGTGTGTGGGGGGCTCCCTGCCCTCCGCGTTGGGAAGGGGTTAATCCCGGCCTGGCCGTTCCCAGCCGTGTCCCACCCGGAGGAAGCGGCCGCAGGAAACAGCCTTCCTCACCGAGGAGGAGGAGGGGGCGGCCGGAGAAAGGGCTGAGCTTTCCTGGCTGGGGACAGAGGGGACGTGAGGGGGGGGATCGGCGCTTCCGCCCCCTTCCCGGCCGGACCCGGCTCCTTCCGCAGGGCCGCCGCTTCCCTCCTCTCCAGCCGCCGCTTCCCGCGTTTCCTGGTCGCGGAGCGGCCGAGGTTGGAGCTGTGCGCGGGACGGGACGGGGCGGGACGGAGCCGCCGGGGCTGTGTCCCGGTGTGCGTGGCGGCCCGGCCGGGAAGGCTCCTTCCCTGCGGGCTCGGCGCTGCGGGGAGGTCGGTGCCGGCGCGCCGGGAGGGGCAGCGGTGGCCGCTGGCTCCCGCCGTCCCCGGAGCCGCTGGCTCCGCCTGTGGCCTTGGCTTTTCCGCTCCGGATGGGTCCCCACCCGTGGGCGGGAGCCGCGGGGCGGCGGGCGCCGTGAGTCAGCGCGGCCGGGATGCGGGAAGCGGCGCCCGCCGGAGCCGCCGCCGGGGAGCCGCCGTCTCCTCCTCCTCCTTGGCGCGGGATTCGCGTTCCTGCCGGAGCCGCGCGGTGACACGTGGCGCTGCGGAGGGACCGCGCGCGGCGCCCGCCTGCGCTCCCCGCTCCGCGGCCGGCGGGATTTGTCTCCGGCCGCTCCGGGCCGCGTTCCCAGGGCTCGCTCCGCGTCGGCGTGCTCCGTGCGGCGGCCACGCTCCATGGCCAGCGCGCYGTAGGATCCACCATGGATCTGGTGCCCGGGGGCAAACACAGCGCCCTGCTTGAGGAGCGCCCCGGCTCCGTCCCGCCGCGCGGGGCCCCCCCGGCGGGCACGGGGGGACCCCCCGTCTCAGCGCCCGCCTCCCCGCAGGACATGAACAAGCTGAGCTGCGGCAAGAAGACGCGCGTGGAGGGCGGCCAGCTCGGCGGCGATGAGTGGACGCGGCACGGCAGCTTCGTCAACAAGCCCACGCGCGGCTGGCTGCACCCCGACGACAAGGTCATGGGCCCCGGCGTCTCCTACCACGTGCGGGTGAGTGCCGCGCGTTCCCGGGAAGCGCCGGCTCTGTCCGGGAAAGCAGCTCCGGACGGGCCCCTCGGGGGCATCCTGCTCACTCCCGCAGTACATGGGCTGCGTCGAAGTGCTCCAGTCCATGCGGGCTCTGGATTTCAACACCAGGACCCAGGTCACCAGGTGAGTCCGGCGCCCGCGCGGGGGCCGCGTCCCTGCCCCGTCCGAGGCCACGGGCGCCTGGRAGCGTCGCCGGAACGCGGCGGCCTCGGGGACCCGTGGCCTGTGGCCGGGCAGGAAACGCTCCTGGGCCCTGTCCGATATTACCAGCCGTGTCACCTGCCCTGCTCTGGGCGGATTCCCTTTCATCCCGGCTGTCCCGCTCCGTCCCGCGCTGCTCCCGCTGCGCTCGGCTGCAAGCAGGGCAGGCCAGGCGGATCCCGGGGGGATTTGGGAAGGCCAGCGGAGCAGGAAGGCTGGAGCAGGGGATCCTGGGGGGATTTGGGAAGGCCAGCAGAGCAGGAAGGCTGGAGCAGGGGATCCTGGGGGGATTTGGGAAGGCCAGCGGAGCAGGAAGGCCAGTGCGGCAGATCCCAGGGGGATTTGTTGCCGGTCCCACGTGGTGCTGCCCTCCCGCAGGGAGGCCATCGGCCTGGTGTGCGAGGCCGTGCCCGGAGCCAAAGGMGCCGTGCGCAGGAGGAAGGTGAGGCCGGTTCTGCCGGGGCCCCGCGCGAGTACCCAGGCCGGCACCACCGGCACCGGGAAGGTTTGAAACCCTCCGGCGGGAGCCTGGCCGGGGGGAGGCCGGGACCCCCTGGACCGGGGCGCGCGGCGGGGCCTCTTTCCAGCACTGCCGTCTGCCCCCAGCCCTGCGGCCGCTCCCTGAACTCCATCCTGGGCAAGAGCAACCTGAAGTTCGCYGGCATGCCCATCACCCTGACCATTTCCACCAGCAGCCTCAACCTCATGGCCTCCGACTGCAAGCAGGTGAGCGCGGGCCGGGCCGGGCCCGGTGCCGCATCCCGGTGCCACCGGCATGCGCGTCCCGGTGCCGCTGGCGCCGCTCTGGGCTGTGCCTAACGCCGCCCGTTGCAGATCATCGCCAACCATCATATGCAGTCCATCTCCTTCGCCTCCGGGGGAGACCCGGTGAGTACGCGGGGTCCCGGTGCTGCCGGCACCCCTGGGCCCCCGGCTTGGCTCCGTGCCGGCGCCGCTTCCCTCCGCCGGGCTCAGCGGCCGCCTCTCGCTCGCAGGACACGGCCGAATACGTCGCCTACGTCGCCAAAGACCCTGTGAACCAGCGAGGTGAGGGCGGGCGTCCCGGGGGTGGCCGGCGGGGGTCCCGGGGGCGCCCGCGCCGCCGTCCGCTGCCACGGCGCTGCCTCCGCAGCCTGCCACATCCTGGAGTGCGCCGAGGGGCTGGCGCAGGACGTCATCAGCACCATCGGGCAGGCCTTCGAGCTGCGCTTCAAGCAGTACCTCAAGAACCCCCCCAAGCTGGTGACGCCCCACGACAGGTCGGGGACGGGGGACGGGGGCACAGGGCACGGCGGGACACGGGAGCGGGGCGGGAGGGCAGCAGGGGATGGGAAGCGGGATGGCAGCGGGATGGTGGCAGGAAACAGGATGGGAGTGGGAAGTGGGAGGGCAGCAGGATGGCGGGAAGAGGAAKGGTGGCGGAAAGGCGGTGGGAAGCGGGACGGAGGCGGGATGGCCTCAGGAAATGGAATGGTGGTGGGAAGCAGGATGGAGGCGGGATGGCAGTGGGAAGCGGGATGACAGCGGGAAGTGGGATGGCAGCAGGATAACGAGAATTGGGGTAGCAGCGGTATTGTGATGGGAAGCAGGATGGAGGCGGGATGGTGGGATGGCAGCGGGAAGTGGGATGGTGATGGGATGATGGTGGGAATTGGTATGGCAGCGGGATTGTGATGGGCAGCGGGATGGAGACGGGAAGCAGGATGGAGGTGGGATGGTGGTGGGAAGCAGGATGGCGACGGGATGACAGTTGGAATTGGGATGGCAGCGGGATTGGCGGGATGGCAGCAGGATGATGGGAATTGGGATAGCAGTGGGATCGTGACGGGAAGCGGGATGGCAGCGGGAAGCGGGATGCTCAGCCGTGCCGTGCTCCCCCCAGGATGGCCGGCTTTGACGGCTCCGCGTGGGACGAGGAAGAGGAGGAAGCGGCCCCGGATCACCAGTACTACAACGACTTCCCGGGCAAGGAGCCGCCGCTGGGCGGCGTGGTGGACATGCGGCTGCGCGAGGGGCCCGCGCAGCCCCCCGGCGCCACGCTGGTGAGGCCATCCCCGGCCCTGGCGCGGCCGGGAACGCCGCGCTGGGCACCTCCGGGATGCGGGGGACAACGGGGGGACACGGAGCTCACTCCTGGCCCCCTCTTTCCACAGCCCATGGGACAGGTGTCCGCGGGGGATTCGGACGCGCGGAAGCAGCTCGGTGCTGCCCAAGGTACCGCCGGGGCGGGGGTCCCGGCGGGACAGGGCCCCATGCGGAGGGTCCCGGCCGCTCACGGCGGCGCCCGCTCCCAGCGCCCAGGGAGAAGCTCCCCGGCGCCTCCGGCCGCGCCGACCTCTTCGACGACCCGTCCTACGTGAACGTGCAGAACGTGGAGAAGACRCGGCCGGGCCCGGCGCCCGCCGCCAACGGCAGCGCCCAGCGGGACCTCTTCGACATGAGTGGGTGTCGCGGCCGCCGCCGCCGCGCGCCGCTCCGGGACCGAGCAGGTGACAGCCCCTGTGCTCCGCAGAGCCCTTCGAGGACGCCCTGCGCGCCCCCGCCGCGGCGCTGCCCCCCGCGCACGCCGTGGCCTCCATGGAGGAGCAGCTGCGGCGGGAGCCCTGGTACCACGGCAAGATGAGCCGCAAGGAGGCCGAGAAGCTGCTGCGGCTCAACGGGGACTTCCTGGTGCGCGAGAGCACCACGACGCCCGGGCAGTACGTGCTGACCGGCCTGCAGGGCGGGCAGCCCAAGCACCTGCTGCTCGTCGATCCCGAGGGAGTGGTGAGCGGCGCCGAGCCCCTGCGGGACAGCCCGGCGGGAGCAGGAGGAGGAGGAGGAGGGTTGTGCACCTGCGTGCTCCCCTGGCGCCTTTGCTGAGGGTGCTTGGGACTGGGGAGCGTTGAGGGCTGCTCCGTGGGGCCAGGAATTGCTCGGTGGGGCTGGGGGCTGCTGGGTGGGTCTGGGGCTGCTCCATGGGTCTGGGGGCTGCTCGGCAGTTCTGGGCTGCTCTGTGGGTCTGCGGGCTGCCCCACGTGTCCAAGGGCTGTTCCGCAGCTCTGGGGGGCTGCTCGGCGGGTCYTGGGGCATTCTCTGGGTCKGRGGGKTGCCCCACRSTTCYGAGGGCTGCTCRGYGGSTCYTGGGGCRYTCTSTGGGTCTGGGGGYTGCCCCAYRGTTCTGAGGGCTGCTCAGTGGGTCCGAGGGTGCTCTGTGGGTCTGCCCCACGGCTCCGAGGGCTGCTCGGCGGCTCCGGGGGCTGCTCGGCGGCTGCGGGGCTGTTCCCGGGCTCCGTCGGCGCGCCCTGAACCCCGTGCCCGGCAGGTGCGCACCAAGGACCACCGCTTCGAGAGCGTCAGCCACCTCATCAGCTACCACATGGACAATCAGCTGCCCATCATCTCGGCGGGCAGCGAGCTCTGCCTGCAGCAGCCCGTGGAGCGGCGGCCCTGACGCCGCCGCCGAGCGCTCGGACTCTTCTCGGCCGGCGGACGGAGCCTCCCGGTGCCGCCGGTGCCTCCCGGTGCCGCCGGGGCCGGGCACCGTGCGCTGCCCCCCCTTCCAAACGTACCCGGTCACTTTACGTGTTAACTCTGTGCCTTGACCCGCAGGTCCAACGTACTTATGCAAGGGCGCCGGGCCGGGGGGCGGGAGCGCTGCCGGTAGCCCCGGGCCCCGCCCGGTAGCCCTCCCTCCCCCCCTTTTGCATGCACGTTGTTCTCGCCCGAAGCCAAAGCGTAGCCGCCCGGGCCCGGGCCCTGCTATACCAAAGGAACCGGCGGTCGCCATTAAAGTTGGTATTTCTCTAC